CCCCAAAACCCCAAAACCCCAAAACCCCAAAACCCCTATATAGACTCAATCTATTGAAAAGATAGTTAATGGTGAACTCATCCCTACTTCTACTGCCTAAAAATTATCTGAATATTTGATGCTGTTATCATCGAGGCTTTTAAGCTTCTGCTTGTCTCTACCACGAGAGTTGTAGCCTTCTATAATAATTTTATAAACCAATTAGCCGATACCTTCAGTGCTGGAGGAACGTTTCTCTCTGGAATTAAGCTTATTTTTGAAAAATTCACCGATAGAACCATCAGAGTCTCTTTCCTTGTTGAACTCGATGTCATCAATGAAAATCTTTTCCTCTTTATTTTGAATTGAATCAGCATAGAAATGCTTGATATCCAGCCTCTATAAAAAAGAGTTAGAAACATCTTAGAAGGATCTTACTTGAGATCTATCCTCAGCGTCTTTTTGATGTTTGAAAAACATGATGATTCTGAGATACTGTAGTGCACACCAGAGGAGAAATAGCATATCTTCTATCACCTCCTCCAATGTAAGGATTGAGACGGAAGAAGTGCACATCATTATGATAAATGTAGTTACTCAGCTTACTACAACAGCTGAATCAAAAATATTTGCTCATGATGTGAAGTATTTCATTGGTCCAGTTATGTAAAGTTTTAACATAAAATCCATCAGCAAGCTAACGTTGATGAATACTTCTGCGAAGATGAATAATTTACTTTGATGGACCCTTGATCCAACCAGAAGGATCCAAGTCACCATGATTGTAGCAAGGATGCCAAAAGCAATGTAATAATATCTTCATTTTCTAGAAGAATAGAGTCGTTTTATTTCAGCTGCAAATGAGTTCTTGTGGGACGTAAGGAGTCCTTGGATCCCTTCATCATCATATTCATCTTCTAGGAATAGTTTATGCAAAAATCTTAAAATATTAATCTAACGCCCGGTCAAAAAGGTAAAACTTTTCTAGAGAATGAAATTCTTTAATGCTTCAAATTCCAAATTAGTTCTGAAAATAAGTAACAGTAAAAGCTAGCTTACCTGGGCTTTGTGGCTTAGAACCTGAATATCTCATACTAAAGGTAATCAGAGGATGCTTACTCTTGTCTGTCTTCCTCCAAATCACTGTCTTCTCCAAATTTCATGTCTGAAAACTCATCGCTATCCTCAAATGTATTGACTGACTGTCTCATTTTGAACTTTATTAATAATCAATACTGTGGAATATTTTGGGGTTTTGGGGTTTTGGGGTTTTGGGGTTTTGGGG